TTAATGCTTTAGTAACTGAATTTTCAGTTTCATAGCATTTCCTTACATAATGAACAAATTGTTGATTATTGGATGAAAGCGTAGAATGTCTATTGCAGAATGCTTTTACAGACGACAGTGATTAGATTATCCTATTACAGCCGCTTTATTTGCAGTCTGTAAAGTAGTGAGATTATGGCATAATGAGTTAATGCAGCACGTGAGTATGCACACATGTTTGATCCAACGGACACATCTATTAGTTTATGCCATCACTCCTAATAATTGAATATCACTTTAATGCTCTCACCTTTATCATAGTTTTTGAGCTGTTGAAAGTACACTACAAAGTGCACAGTGTTCTTGTAAAAATTATTTTTCTACCTCATATTTAAGGTTTACAGATCCTTTTACATATGAGCTTTTACAATTTCTTTTCTACATACAAGTTTGTGTTTTTTTTTTTTTTTTTTTGAGGCTTTGTTTTAACTCTTTTTTTGCTCCCAAAATGTTGGTGTATTTTCTGATATAAAAAAAAACCAGTATTAATGAAGATTTTTAGTCCGAGTTGTCCAATATTCACGGATATAAGTACACGTAGAAGAAAAATTTTGATTATTCCAGTAGTTTAATATAAAATATCACCAATAAAAAAAAAGATTTTAGAATAGTACATTTAAGCTAGCAAAGGGAGAATGTTGGAATGCATGCAGGGCAGAGAGTTACAGCTGGAGGTAGAATTTGGCAAGGAAAATAAGAGAAAAAAAGACATAAAGGCCTTGGTAAATTGGGGATGAGGGCAGGATTGTATAAGTTATCATTTTGGTCAGTATCTTCTGAAATAGTAACTTCATTGCCAAATCCCATAATACTACTTACATCAGGGTTGTCAGTGTCCTGCTCCCCTGATGTCGACTAAAACTACCACAATTCTCTACCCCTCTGTTGCAGGCAGATAATGTTGGAAGCTGTAGTCCATAAACATCTGGGCATGGCTGAGTTTGAGACTCTGACGTATGTAATAATAGAAAATGTTAGCTTTGTGTTAAACAATTACTTTCAAAATTACAGACAAAAGTGTGTTTTTACATTATTGGGCAACAAAATTAATTTTTTTTTAAAACTGCTATGACTGCTATATGAAGTTTGTTTTAACGTATTCTACCATGCATGCAGAAGGTAAAATGTGGCTGATATCATGTAAATATTTAAACCAGAGTTTGAGCATGTGCACTCCATTTAAATACCATGTCACCTATTGCCATTTACGGGCCTTCTGGTCACTGTATTCACTGCATTTTATTTTGCTATGTTTTCATGTTGAATGGCACTTAGGATCAGAATTGGCGATTCAGAGCCATTTCCAAAATAAATCCTGTATGTCCCTCGCGTTAGTGCCGGGGAGGTTTATTACCTCCCCCATGTCTGCCCTTGCAATGGGGGCATATCCACTAAATAGCCAGTGGATAATACTTGAACACTGGTATCTGGGCGTCCATTGCTGTCCAGTCTCTATTCCTTATGGGTCGGGGCTTCAGTCAGAGCACTCTGGGTATAGCCTGCCAGTTGCTAGTATTTTATGACTGGTTAATGGATATGTTTATTCCTGCGGTATAGCGAGTGGGACCATAGGAGATGTTAAACACCTCACTTGTACCAATATGGGCGTCCTATTGACTCACACAGGCTTTTATTTTAATCCAGAATTCTAAATTCTATAAAAATATTGGTTAATATTGATCATTTTCAACTAGGTTTTGCAGATAGAATGGATTTCAAGGCTTTAGTTGGAACATTTTATTTAAATTCTCCTGTTGATACTAAAGTGAAACCTGGCCATTTTGAATACAGTATTGAGGATTTCATGATTCAATTATTTTTATTACTTATTTATTTCGAACTCTTGTGTTTTCGGTAACCAAATATTATGATGTTCCTTTTTTGGAATTCTGTTTTTAAATTAAATATGCATATTTTATACTTTAAATACCTAGTTTACTCCATACCAAATTCTGGTGACTATAAAACAGAATTGCAAAATTTTGGCAAAATAGCTGATTAAGGATGCATTTGCAACGTGACTACAATCAGAGCTTTGTTATTTTTGCTTCTTTTTTGCAATTCGGTTTTAAGTTCACTACAGTTTTATGTAGACCTTACAGTGTGAAACTTTAGATGAATGTAAAGGTTACAAATTGAACATATAGGTATAGTTAAAAAAAAAAGAAAATCAATATATAAAATATATCCGCTCACCAAATGTTTGTTTTCAGCAGCAGTTTTGCAGACACTGTGCAAATACCCCATATGTTTGGGCTAACCAATTAATTTAGCTTAATTTCTGAAAATCTACTTTCTCCTAGGCCTTTTCCTCTGGGTACCCGACCAGTTAGTCTATTATTACTTCCATACAAATGCTGTATAAATTAACTTCATTTTAACCCAATAACACTATCTTGATGACAGTCATGATTTATTTAACATCCGGTTTTCACCTTTAAACTTGGGTGTTCTTTTCTATTCATTTAAAAACAGAAAAAAATGTATATGCCAGGATTAGCTTGGCTGTCCGTGAATGCTGGGATTTATAATCCAATTTATTCTTTGAAAAAAGACAGCATATTTAATTTATAAAGTAGTTTGTTTGATCCTGAAAAGTTTTGAAGCATGTCTGATCATATTCCCATTGCAAAGTCTTTTTTTATACCTTTATAATTTGAAAGAAAGCATAATTGTGTAAATATATTGAAGTTCTATTACTTGAAATCTGTTTTAAATGAAAAGAAGCAGTAATTTGTAATGTGTTTTTTTGGCTGTTTTTAATGTTTTTTTTTTTTTTTAAGGGATGGAAAAAAACAACACATTTCTCTTTATCATGTTTTAACATCTATGGACGAGGATTAAGTCTAACTGTTGAAATAAAAGCTTTTCGAAACATTGCTAGATGTTAATGGTGTGGCTCTGCATTTTGTATTAAAATGTTTTTTCTTTTTGGTTTTTGGGGTTTTTTGAGTTTTTTTTAAATTTAAAATAATGTCAACCAATACCTCTTTTATTCTGCAAGACATTGGGCTTACAAGAATGCCTGTACTTTTTTAATTTTAAATTTAAAGTGTATTTTTTTTTTTTTTAATAGATCATTAGGTGGAGGTTTTAGTTCTTTGGAATTAAATGTAGTTACAATTTTATCATTTGCTAAGCATGCTGTAATCTCTGCTTAAGCCTCATCTACATTTTGCAGTTTGTAGAGAAAGCAGGCAGTACTGAACGCGGCCTTCCTTTGGGAATACACCATGGTTAATGAGCGTGATAGTCTGGTGGGCTCAATAAATCAAATAAAGGAAAACATTTCTCATTTCTGAATAAAAGCATTTATCACCCAGTGTTTATTCATTCATGGTCAGAAGATTGATTGGATTCTTGTATCATGGATGTATACCAAAGCATTTCTTCTTTCTTTCTTTCTTTCTTTTTTTTTATATATATATATATATATATATATATATATGTGTGTGTATATTTACGTGTTTCTTTTTTTTTTCCTACTAGTGGGCAAGTTGAGAAAGCAGTGGCTGAAGGACAGCATTTCAGATGTCGGAATTGGAATGCTGAAGTCTGTCAAAAATTTTGTGGACCCCGATAACATCTTTGGAAACCGAAACCTTTTATAGATCCTGATCTCCAAAAAGCCACCAGTTCTGTCTGTGCGTGATCATGTTTTAATACTGTACAGTTATCCCACTAAAACAATATATTTTGTCCAGAACAACTAGGTATGAAATATGTGATGAAATAGGAGAAACAAAATGAATTACTATTGTTCTAAAGTGCTTTGTTCAATACAGGTTTCGGAAGAGTTGTCTTGCTGTGTTAAGGTTGGAAGTGGGCTCTGATAAGGAAAGGGCAGCTGTCTACAGTTTGCTGTTCCAGACCCTTCAGACATATGTTATATTAAGTTGCCCTCACTTGTCAGGTCTTGGAAACTCACTTTATCTTGGCCAGCTTCTATACTTAAAATGCATAGAATGCCACCGTTTTTAGTAAATGGCAATTCTGTAAGTTGCTCAAGCAAAAAATTGCGTTATAATCTGCACTGCAGCATAACTTGGGTTTAGGCAAAGAGTGTTGGCTTTGTAAACAAATATAGTTCACTGGTGGCTCCTGTGATATGGGACATGAACGTGCTCAGCCATCATTAGCTATACATAAAGCAGGACGTGTACAGGTATAACGTGATAAACATTTTCCACTCCATTGGAGACCCAAATATGGACAGTCGTTTTTACAGCCTATTTAGTGATACAGGCTTTTTGTAACGGTTAGAGAGGCTGTTGCTTCTCATATCCTTGTGGAAGCTCTTTACCTACTCGGTGTGCAAAGTATGATGTTAGGAACTGCCCGCAGACACAGCTGTTCATGCACCCTTCCACTAGACTTTCTCGTGGATATTCCACATTAATAGGATACACTTTTTTTTTTTTGGGTAGATATTCGTGTATTACTGGGCATTAAGATAACACATCCCTTTCACATAAATTTTTAAGCACCTCTTTTGGGATTTTAGATGGCAAATAGATCTTGCACTTCCTCACCCATATCACTGGTAAAACTAGAATTTTGGCTTTAGAGAACTAATTTCAAAGCATGTTCATTTCCAGCTCAACTGTGTCATGGACTAATCAGAATTGTACTTGTAATAAAGAATAATCTTTTTCTTTAACTTTTTTTTTAAATTACCAATCACTACCTGTATTGCTGCGCAGAACTTTAATAAGCAGTGAATTGGATTAAATCCTTTTCAGCCATAATACATTTTTGTACAGAGATGCTAACATCTTCATATTGTATGTTCAGAACAGAATTTATGACATAAAAATGAATACTTTCACCCATACTGCTTTATTGTCCTGTGTTTGTTTATTTTAGGGTTTCATATGGAGGGGTAAATATCGTATTTTTCCATGGATACGTCATTTTTTTTAGAAAAAAAAAAAAATTGTCTAAAATTGGGGGTCGTCTTATACAAGGAATGTCACTGCAGGGGTAAAAAAAAAAAACTTGTGCGTGGGGCCTAATTTAAGATGGTACCTGCCACATTTCAGTGTGTGCCACAGCCCACATACATACCTGGCCTCCCTCCCGCTGATCCACTTCTGAATGCTGTGGCAGGGAGGAAGAGGTCCAAATATGCTTGGGAGCTGCAGCAGACATCAGCAACGGAGCTCTATAGACATGTCACACCATGAAAGGAGCAGCCATATTAAGGTTTGCTCCACCTCAGGTAGGTCTAGCTTTCTGATTTATATTTATGGGGGAGGAAATGGGGATCAGGGAGCAGAGGAAATACTACTGTGATGTCCCAGCATGCACTATAGAGCCATTAACATCACAGAGTACCATAGCACAGGGGAGGCATGAGAATCAGAAGTGTGCTGTTCTCCTCAGAAGTCAGCTCTAAAATATCATTGTTCTATTTGATGTTTAAAATAATGATTTCTTAATTTTGGGCTCCAAAAATAGGGGTCGTCTTATACATGTGGGACGTCTTATACACAGGAAAATACGGTAATTTAAAGTTGCACCATCATATTTTATTTTTCTTTACCTTATGCCCTGTGTATCTTAATGCTTTTGCACCACTTTCCTTTATTTATATATTTCCTTTCTTGCGCCAGATCTCAATACCGGGGTGACTCCATTTTGTTCTCCTCTTGCAGTTTGTCCTTCTGGGGATTTTTTGGACTGACTAATTATGGGTAAATTAGCTTGGTAATTAAAATGGAGCTTTGATTACTGTCCGCAAGGAGAGGGATTGCCAAAGATCACAGTCCCTATAAGAAAAAACAGTCCCCACTTTTTCTTGTGTCTAAAAAGCTAAGGTGAATTACATTTTTAAAAGGCAGAAATGGAGTGGAAAAAAATAATTTAAAAATAAAACCTGGAAAGTGGGAAAAATTGAAAAGTGAGGTTGGGCATCAGTAACAAAAAAAAGCAACAAAATGAAAAATAATATATAAACATAAATACTATACTGTGCATCTTTACAAATTAAAAAAAATGCCTAAATTGCCAACTCACTCTTTTCAGAACCAATAGAAACTAGCTCTGGGTTGCTTCTGGTGTCTTATAGGTTCCACTACCATCTTGTTCTGGCCAATGAAAGCCTCAGGGAAACGTTCTAGTTACACATTGATCACCGTATAGTGAAAATATGACGAGTCTAAAAAGGACTAATAAAATTATCCACTTCTATGTAATAGAGGACTTCTGGGTCTAGATTAGAGAATGTAGGTGGTTTAGTACCCACCAAGGATTTGTCCCTGGTCAATAATATGAGATCTCTTGTGCCCGCTATATAAAAAAAAAAAAATTGTAATATCAAACATAAATTTATAAAAATAGAAATGGACCTTAACTGCTATTCACACAATTGTCACTACACAAATAGCTATTAAATGCTGGTTTCTGAAAAATGCCATAATGTGTAAGTTGTTATGGTGGAGCACTTAGTGAATTATTTGACTGTATTACTAATTTATTTGAATACCTTCTTAAGGTACCAGTCTTATAAAGTGCAATCTCAACTATCAATTTCTTCAAATGTTTCAGCAATTATTTTTCTGAAAAGTGCAAATATTTCTGAAAAGTGCCAATCCTATACGGTGCAATTCCAGTACTCAAAATTATTATTTAGTTATTTAATGGATAACTTGATGGTGTAACAGCAGCTAATTAAAATAACTATTTTTTTCCCTACCAGAATTGATTTTTAAGCGCCTTTTTTAGTCATCTAGTGGTTTCTGGAAAGTTGTTAGCAGAGTAGTAAAAAGATGGCTATTGACATACAACTCCAATAAACTCCTGCTATACCCATAAAACACTGCTTATGATAAGTTAAATGAGCATCAATCACTTTCTGGTTTAATGAGACCTCCATTCAGGCATTGCAAATCTTGTAGACCGAAAACAATTGCAGAAACTTCATATGTATCTTATATTTTAATATTTTTAGTGTATTGTTTTTGTATGTTATAATTCATTGAAGCATTATATTAGCAAATGGATCAGGTCCATGAGCCTTGTCCTCTCTACAGGACAATGTCAAACAGGGCCATGGAATTAGGCACATGTGTCAGGGAGGGGTGCACACTTGGGGAGCTGGCCTAAACTCCAAAATATGTTTATATATGAAAAAAGTGTGTGTGTATATATAATATATATAGAGAGAGAGACTGACTGACTCATAATTAGCAAAATATGCATATCCATAAAAGATAAAGAACTTGTGTGAAAATTTTTACAATATTATGTCAACCTCTTGTTTGTATTCATTTGAAATAAAGCTGAAACATTAATAAAACAAATACTAATTAGCTAATCTTGCTCCACAGTTGGCCTGCAGAAATGAATATTAATAGCCAAGTAAATGCCCATTAATTGTGCATGCTGAGTGTGATGTAATGAAACTGAGGAGGAGGTATGGATTAAAATCTTATTTCATACTGTTAACTCTAGCCATTTATTTAGTCACTAATATCCTGTCCTTAGTGTCATACAAAGGGCTTAACTCGCAAACCATAAAAGGTTAGCAGGTGTATTTCAACTGATGAATACTTCAACTCAGAGGACTACTTGCATGTAGGGTTTTTGGTGTGGTGTGCCAAACCTGTTGACTGCGTCGACAGGGCTGGACTGTCAAGGAATTGCAGGTATTCTTGTATTTCCCCTAACTGATGTATATGTGTAGTTGTAGTCGTTGTAAAAAACTATGAAAGTGTTGTTGTTGGTTAGTGACCCTCCTTCATCTTTAAGGGAGGTGATTGGTTTAAAACCTGAGCGAGCATGGACCATTAAAATAGTCGTTTCGACCAAATGACCTAGCAATCTCATTTAATGAGAACGCTTTAATAGAGTGTCGGAGGGCCTGCAATTCTAGAAGCTTTGTAGGGGTGGGAAGATTTATTTTTTCATTATTTTTTTTTTTTTTTTTTACACATTCTTTATTTTTGGCGTGCAGTAGTAAACACATGAGTTAGAATGGACATTTACTAAATAAATGAACCACTAATGGAGACATTAGAACATGACATGTAATGGCAGGAGAGACTGCACTGTTATAAACATATAACAAGATAAATCCAGCTATGCATACATGTCTACACAAGGAGTAGAATTGGCGCGAATATACTAAATGAGAAGCTGCCGTGTCTCTTGGCCATAAGCCATAAGCCATATCAGCTTTGAGCTTTTTTTATTTCTTTCAGAAGTAGACGTAGGCAGTGGTGTATCCTGGTTTTGTGCTGCCCAAGGCATGATAAAACAATGACATCTCCACCCCCCTCCCCCAGTCCCGCCTTCTAAATACACATGCACACTCAGTGTCAGACACACTAGCAGACACACACACACACTCACATAAAAAAAAAAAAAAAAAATTTAAATTCAATCCCCCCCAGCCTTCCTACCTTTGAGAGTGCTGGGGTGGATTCTCGCTTTCCCTGGGATCCAGTGGGGTTGCTGGGCGGCCAACCGGTCACTGCAGTCTACGAGGGAGCACTGATCCTCCTGTTCAGCTCCGCGTAGTGATGCCGGGACTGGAGTGACGTCATATTCCGGGTCCGGCATCACTGCTGGGCGCGCGAGGAAGCTGAACCGGAGGATCAGTGCTCCCTTGGCGCCCGCCCTGAAAGTGCCATCACTGCCAGCCTCGGGGGACCCTGAGGTGGCAAGCCGGTCAGCTCCTGGGCCCTCCAGGTCAAGAGGCTGGCAAGGCATTTGCCAGGGTGATATGGGGGCGGCTTTTTTGCCACCCCCCAGAAAGTGCCGCCCAAGGCAAATGCCTTGTTAGCCACCTATGGGCATAGGTGAATTTAAGCCTTTTACGTTTAACTAAACTATCTTAATGCCATAGACCTGGGTGAGGTGAATGCTGGTCGCTTGAACCTGTAGTGCTCCCCCTCAGAGATCGAGGGAGGATTATGGTCGATTTTTGGCTACTTTTGTTATATAACCATGGAGGTAGTAGGACATGAATGGCTCCAGCACTCTCCCCCTCAGCGGAGGCAGATAAAACAGAAAGAAAGTAGAGAGGGGGCGGGGGGAGCATTTGCAGTGATTTTGTCAATTGAGGGAGCAAAATGAAGAGTCCTGGACCCATCATTGACCTAAAGCTCTTATAAATAGCATTTTTTTTCCCCATCAAAGTCCATAAATACCAGATATCGTGCAACTGGCCCACTAGCATGAAAAATATAGAAAACCTCAGCATGAAGATTTCATCTTGCAAATACATTTTAGATGGCTCCTTTATAAAGTGTTTGGATGTATTTTATTTAGAGAGACTTACTGTACAGATTCACTGGCACGAGTTGAAGGGTATTATAAGACACAAGTGGTCCGACATCATACATTATACTTTCAGTAGGATGGCAAATGTTACCGTGAAGCTGTAAAACTTAAAAAAATAAAAATAAAAAAGACAAATTGCGTTTTTACACATAACATCCATTACAGATGTAATGTATGCTGGCTGTGCACAGTTAGACTATTAGATGCATCACAGGGTTTTAGTGACATTAGGAAGCACGAGAGCCCAGAATCGTGAAGGATGTCTAAAACAGGGTTATTATTTACTGCAGGTAGACTGATCTGATGTGCAAGCTTCTTCTGTTACAATAACAGATTAAATCAGAAATTAAACGTACCATCATTTCCCGTCAAAAAACATTGTTGACTATTGATCTCGGTACATTCTACTCTCTAATATAATGTATATGTTTTGGATTTCCTCTTTTTGACTGTATGGAAACGGAACTCACACAGGGTTAAAAACATAGCTGTCTTTAAAACTTTTTCCAATTTGGTGATGGTGGCTTAAATCTGATAATTCACTATAGATGCACAACGATTCACAATCTAGTGAATAATTTTGTTTGTGAAAATATAGTCATAAAATATCTAAATCTGTAGGTTATATACAACTCTGAATAGGATAATTCTCTGTACTTTGGTTAGAGGGTAATAGAATTATACAATTGTATTATACAGGAAAATAATCATGGTTAAATTGTTGTGGATTTTAGAAAAAACACACACACAGTGTAAGTTAAACAGCAATGAATTAAACCTAACTAAAATGTTCTGAAGGTTTAATTATTTAAAGATGCAGTTTTTGTATTTCTAGAAAAAAAGCCTAATGAGGTCTTAAGTTAAATAGATCGGTCAGGACCGATATGTAAACATTTTGTATCACTTTCGAGACAGATGTAAAAGTGTTAACAGATGTAAATATGTTAAAACTAGCATTTCAACTTAATCTCTGAAATTCATGTTGCATTGGCAGGCGAATGCCTAGAACAAGCAAAAACAAACATGCACACAGATCTAATAGTGGGAAACTCGCTAGGCACACAAAGAACCTCTATGGACTTTACAGCGGGTGGGGGCCCTTAAAAATAAGTGGGTAGTGATATGTCCACTCATATCCTCCACCCATTGGCAGCTGGTGGGGTCCCTAAATATGAAGGGTGGTGTACCAATTGTCCCCCACATTAAATTTTCCCTCCTCAGTAACTAGGGGATCCCAAGCCCCTCGTGCGCCCCCATGAAAAATACCCAATTTATCCCTCTCACCCTACTAATAGTAATTGGGGGCCAATAAATGAAATATTTGTAAAATAAAAAAAATACTTCCATCTTCTTTTCTTTAACCTCCTAAAAGGCCAAATAAAAATCAATAAAGTTGCATTGCAACTATTAAAATAAAATGAAAAGAACCGACAAATTATCCATCTTTATCCCACAAGGGCTCTGCGTAGACTGAGCTTGCAGGTTGGGGAAAGCCTTCTAAAGCTTTCTTGCTCCATGCAGTTTTAGTCAGAACTCTTTGACAGGTAAATCTTGAGATTGACAGGTTTATATTGCCACTCGCAGAGTACATGCCCCCCTGTTAATTATTTTATTAGGTGCCAGGTCCTCCTTTAATAGAGTAGCTTCCCAGTCGCTAGTCTTTTCGTATAACAGTGAGCAGTCACTGGTTGCTAGCTGTTTAGTAGATATGGCCCTACTCACAGCATGGTGGGTAGGGGCAGGAGAGAATATCTAGCCTGTCCTATGCTATTTTGGAGGTCATATTGACCCCATACAGGCCAAGGGTTAAGGGGGAATGTAGGGATTTAGGAATGGTGTTCCCCGCCTCTTCTATTTTTTTTTTTAGATATTACAAGGTGAAAGCCGCTAGCCAGTAGCTCCCTCCTGCTAATAAACTAAAATGAACAAAGAACGATTAGGACAGCCGAAATTTCGTACAACAAGCAATTCATTCTTCATTTTATTATCTGTAATTTCTATTAGTTCATTAGTCTTTCAGATGAATGAACAAAACTGCAAAAAATTTGTTTGTCCGAAAACTCATGCCCAAGTCAAGATTAGATTAGCCGTATTAGTCCACTGGTCAATATGCCAAAATAACCAGAGTATTGTAGTCTACAATGGTGCCGTTTTATTGAAATAACATAATACTTAAAAGACACACTTTCATGAGTTTTCATCTCTTCCTCAGGCCTGAAGCAATGCGCTTTTTTTGTTGTAAAATGTATTAAATGTAAGAATCAAAAGTTAGCTTCCAAGCCCCACACTGAAGAGACCCAAATGATTGAAACAGCAGTCAGTTTATTTGTGTTTATTTTTTCATATCATTCCAAACGTATATTTCAAATTTCAAAAACATTAGTGACTCGATATAAAGCATTATACAAATTAAAACAATATAAGGAATATTCTTTCTGACCTTTTTTATTTTCCACAATCGATGGAGTTTATTTTCTAAAACGCATTATACACACACATTACTGTTACATGTATGGTAATATTTATAGTACTTTCTAAGTGCTAACAATTCCTAGATTCTTCTTCTCTGCACCCGTTACCCCAGAACATGTGCATACGAACATTTAGCACCTGTGTAAATAGTATCTGATAAATAAATGGCGAAAATTAGAAAAGCTGACGTATAACTATATTCGGCTCGCTTTCTTCATTGGTCAGTCTGCGAATTTGATTGATAGTGATCATTTAAAATATATATATATTTTTTTAAGAATTAACGAGAGGTTAAAAAAAAAAGGAAACCACAATTGTAATTTCATGGGACCAAGTAAACTTCCATGCTTGCCACAATTAACCCCTTATTACATTGAACATTACAATCTGTCTGACAGGTGGACAGGAATTTTTATTTTATTTTATTTTTTTAAGTTTTCCTATCCAGAAGTGTTTTCTACCAGCCAACTTTCCTATCTTTGTACTTCTTTGTATTATACCCCTGAGTTGGCAAACTTGTTTAATTCCCAAAATAAATATCCATCAGGCTCTCTACCTCTCCGTTTTCATTTTAGCTTCCTTTCTTAAGATAATATCTGATGGTGCTCAACATATCAAGAAAGAAGAAGAAAAAAGAAAAAAAAGCTTGATTTGAAAGATTCACTGATTGTATATTGATGAAAAGAAAGGATGCTGGAATAATAACATATTTAAATTGTTGTAAAGAAAAATTAAATATATTCTGTGAAATTCTCACGCTTTTTTTCTTTACTTGTTTGTGAGTTAACTATAGAGATTGCATCCTTCATCTATTGATTCTGTGTAGTTCTCAAATAAGTTCTCTTACGTTACAAAGAAGTGACAAAATATCAAAATATAATTCTGAATAACAGAATTGTGAAGTTAGCTAAATAATGTTCTTTGATTTGGGTAAGATTGTGTTGTTGCTAAAGAAAGGGGTATTGCCTTCCTCTCGAATTTTACTCTCGAGCTGTGCTGGAATACCAATTAGGAAGCATAGGTGGCATCTTAGGACCCAGGCAAAGTCTGGACCTGGAAGGCCGGTTCTGAATGTGACGGGGACCCTTCTTGAGCCGGCAGGGAGGTCAAAAGGTCTCTGTGCCTGGTCCTGCA